TAAAAAAAAAAGTGATTCCCAACCTTCATCACAAGTACAAACAATTTTAGTAACTTATCACTTTCTCTTAAAATACAACAAATGATCTCTTCTTCCCATATCCCATTTCTGATCTATAAAGAAATCCTTAAAGCCTCATTGTTCAGTCCTAATCAACAAAAGTCCATTAAGGGTTACCAGAGGTAACAACATATCTATTTTAACCTTGATCAAATAAACCAACTTTATATTCCTTCCTGTTACTTTTAACAGTTCCTGATCTTTATTCCCTTCAAATAATGTCTCAGAACCTGATTTTTTCCCCATTTTTTCTTTGTCCCTTCTCACGAGATTCTTCAAAGCTTTAACAAGTCTCTTTTGTAAATCCAATATAGGAAAATTATCCAGGTACTCTCTTGGTTTATTGTTTATATGTCCCTTTTAATTATTAAAACATCAGCCAGTTTCTTTTGTATGTTCAGTGTAACATATTTATCCATGTTATTCTTGTAGTCTGTGACTTTTAAATCCACTTTCAGTCTCTGTATAAACAGCAAAAGAATGATTAAAACATTGATTTTGAAAAGTTACAAATGGACTAAGGGTCCAGATGGATTTGAAATAAGATTTTGAAATTAATTATAAGAATCCTTCCCATGGGAAAATGCTGTTTTTTAAAAAAAATCTTTAAAAAAAACCATGATAGGATGGGACTCTGAAGGTTGGACTCTATAGGGAACCAGAAGGAACTAAAGATTACAATTAAAGCAGAAGGACTCTTAAATTTGTCTTACTAATATGGAATGGAGATAAATACTTTAACATTGCATGTATTAAAGGATATTTTTGAACAAACTATTTTATTGCCTACAAAAATGTTTATGGTTTTCTTTCATTGTGTAAAATTCAAAAAGTCATAGTGAAAGAATGAACAAAACAGTATCAGTGGGAATACAGTTGCAATTTGGGGCATACAAAGCATGCTAAGGTGAAAAAATTCTCTGTAATTGCAAAACCAACTATTCAACAGAAATTTGTGTTGGCATCCAAGTTAATGAACAGACTTTGGTAGATATTTTCATTTGTGTGAGGATCCCACTTGTTAGATAGAGTTTATTACAGTAGCAAACCCAATTTCAAATAAAACACATTAAAAATAAAATAGGAATTAAAAAAACAGGCTAAGAATGTCTGAATTGGTGGCAGATTCACTGGTGGGCTGTCAGAGTGTGTCTAGTTTTGCAGCCAGCATAACGGAATTTGCCTACATTCACGGAAACTAAATCATACTAATCTGATAGCAATAACAGTACATAAAAAGATCATAATTTATCAGGAGTTTTATCAGATAAAGAGTTATAAGGCAGGTCCTTGAGTCCTTATAGAGGGTACATTATAACAGGTCATAAGCTGTAGCTTCAACAGCCCCTTGTCTGCAGGGGCACAGTCTCAGCTCATAGGGGATTTTTTTATATTGGCCCAAAACTGCTGTGCGGGGAATGTTGAAGTGTGCTGAAGTTAGTGCTCTTTGGAATTTGGAGATGGTTATATGATGTAAATATATCATTACTTTGAAAAAGGGGGCTTGGCTGCTCAGAAAAACATTCTTGGGTAGAGTAAACTGATCCAGTTAGGCTTCCAGGTCTTTAATATATTGTTTAAATGCAGTAAGTACATGCTCATCCCCCAGAAAAGCTGAGATGTGGGAGTTTTTGTAAAACTATCCTGGTCCATTCTGAATTATAACTGTCCTCAATAAGCAAAGAATTGAAGCCCGTGGGGAAAAAACAGTAACTTCAGCTAGCGTGCTCTTATGCAAGTCCATGCACCCATTTTTGACTTTAATCAGACCTGCCTCCCTCCTTAATACTATGTTTGGACTGCAAGGGGCTACCTAGAATGTAGAGCGGTCCCTTTCAAGAGGAGTAAAGGAAATATAAAGTCCCAGTTTGACACCGAATAGTAGCCTTAGCTGATGAGAAAATGACATAAACAACCATGGTCCCAAAGCTAGATGTCCCAACCATACTGGGGCAGGCTGAAGACATGAAGAGGGATTCCAAATGCTGGTAAAATCCTTCTAGTTCTCAGCATTCAAGCAGTAGAGATTCAAAGCCATGATCACCTAAATGCCCGTTCCCAGAAAATGAAATAATTGAGATACACATTTCTTTGCTAGCCAAAGCAATCCATGTGGTTGGCTTCCTCCCCACTTGTGTCCTAAAGGAATTGTTTAGTCCAGTTCAGGTGTGCCTCGTATGCCTTTCTGGCCCCATAGGACAATTAATGTACAATATGCTGCTGTGCACAATTTATCTGGACCTTTTCCATTTCCCTCTTCAATGGATGCATTCTTTCCTCATAGTTCTTTTTTTCACCCATGTAGACTGCTTTAAACATGCTCACCAAGTGCCAGTCGCTCGAGTATCCAGCTAGTGGGATTCTGACTGTCTCCATCCATCCTGGCTCAGTCGAAAATCCTCGCAACCCAGTTGTAAGTTTTTTCATGTGGGAAGAGCTATTACGCGTTCATGCATATTCAGCTATTTATGAATACACACTCCAAGACTTATGAATTACCTACTAATGAGTCTCTGAAAGTTTTAGTATTCTGATTATTTGGGTTTTGAGTATTTTATTTAATACAATAATATGGTAGTGCAAAAATAGGTGTATCGTATACTTCTGTAAAAGTTACGCTAGAGTTTGAATTAAAGCACTGAATTAGGTATAAATAGAATGAAGGAATGGAAATTTTAACAGAACAAACTGAACAACGTTCCCCAAAAAACCCTTCATTTCCATTCCCCTTTAAAGGGAATATTACATTTCGCCTTCCCCACTTGGAATCTCTTCCCATTTGAACTACTGCTGATTCTCCCTATTTGTGAACACTATTTCTACAGGAAAGCACGTGCTTATATCTGAAAGGACAAAGACTCCGTCCTCATATTTGAGATTTTTTTTCTATTAAAACTTTTATTGAGATATATAAAATGCACAGTTAAAATACAAATCAGAAAGTATAGAAAAGAAAGAAGATCGAACTAGAAGAAAAAGACAAAAATGAAGATAGCGAGAACAGATAGAAAGATGAAACAGAAAGTGACTTCTGACTATCTCCAATACAGATATGAGTATAAATAAAAAAAAGGTTAATCTCTTACCACTAATTGATCCAAATTCACATTATTTCTATCAGCACAAACCATCTAATCATTAAATCCCACAATCAAAGCTTCATTTTTTTCCCATTCAAGCATGTAATCTAGGAAGGGTTGCCATGAAGAGACAAATTTAGAAACAGTATTATCTC